CTTCCTTTCTTGAATTTGAAACTATTATATGAGTTTTTCTATTATATGATATGAAATGTGGCCTAATATTTGATGCCATCTTGAAGCTTGGTCATCAGTAACAAGGTTGGATTGATAAATTGGTCTTGAATCTGGCTGACAGACATAAGGATGATTGATGTGGTGATTAACAAACTAACTGATGTTAGATTCCGAAAATGTATTGGTATCAATAGCATAAAGTCTGTTCAGGACCCTCCCAACAGCAACTAGTTTCCTAGTCACCTGGTCATGCAACAAACAAAAAGTGTCTGAGAAAAAACAATCGATTTTTGAATCTGTGGATAGTTTATTTACGGAAAGTAGGTTATAGTTGAAAGTTGTAATATGAAGACAATCTGAAAGTTCCAAATTTGGAGAAAATCTGATAGATCCTACATGTTCTACCCCCTTAACACTACAATCAGGCGAGGAAACAGGAGCAAATTGAGTGACTGATCTATATGAGATGAACAATTTTAAGAAAGCAGTCATATGTCCAATAGCTCCAGTACCAAGAAACCAAAGTATTGCTATTTCTAGGTTAGACAATTCAAGAGCAGATAAAGTTGTATAAGTAGTCATACCAGCAAAATCATGATAGTGCGCAAAATTGATCTGCTCTCCTTCTGGCATTACTCCCTTTCCTTTCATCAACCTGGATATTTCCTGCTGCATATTCTTCAACATTTGAAGGAGATTTTCATTATCCATCGGTGATCCTGCTTCTTGAACAACTGAATGATCAACCAAGTTTGCTGAGTTCCTGTTTTTGTTGAAAGCTCTTTTCCTATCTCTAACCTTCCCACCAGTCTGGAAAACCAATGATTTTGAAACATCCTTCCTTGAGATGTCCATTGAACCCACAATGATCACACTTCAGAAGTTTCTTCTCTGCTTTATCCATCCTATATTGATTCTCTTTTCCAAACATTTGTCCAAATTGTGTTGTTCCTCTGCGTGAATTGGACTTTCCTGATCCTCCATTGAAGTGACCAGTGTTTGAATAACTAATTCAAGCATTTGAATAACCATTTCCAGTGTTTGAATAACCATGTCCTGAATTAGTATTCCTTCTTTAAACCATCATAGCACTTTGATCACTAGGCTTAGTATAAATTTTGTGAACTATCTGTTGCTTTTCAACATTTATAACCATAGAGTAAGCCTTTTTATCATCCGGCATGGGATCCATCATCAAAATTTGATTCCTGCCGGAGGTATAAGAATCATTTAGGCCACTAAGAAATTTCATCAGTTTAGGCCTATTCTCCCTAATCATAGTCTTCACATTATTATGACAAACACATGCTTCCATAGGATCTAAAACCTTCAATTTGTCCCAAAGACATTTTAGCTTTGAATAATACGTTGCTAGAGGAAGGTTACCTTGAGAAATTGTGGCAACTTCCCGACGCAAATGGTAGATCTGAGGTCCATTGTTCGTGTCGTATCTCTCTTAAGTTCATCCCAAAGATCCTTCACTATAGTTGCCAGATCAAAATTATAGACTAGCTCTTCTGAAATTGAGTTCAGTAACCAAGAAATCAAGATGTCGTTGACTCGATCCCACTGTTCAAACCCAGCGTTCCCGGTGCCGGTTCCCTCATAGTTCCGTCAATAAATCCCAGCTTATTCTTTGTTCCGAGAAACTGACGAATGCTGTGACTCCAAGAAACATAATAGTCAAGTTTATCTGCTACCTTATATTGTAGTAATTTGTATTTACTATACTAATTCGGTATTAGGGTTTTCCCTTATGTGTATATATATACCTTGTACATCTATGTTAAACTCAATGAAGTATAATCTCTATTACTCTTAACTTGGTACAGAGCTAGGGTTTATTTTATTTTCTTCTTGTACTCTCGGTTGAGTTCCTTTCCGCCGCCGCCGACCACCCTCTCTTCCTCGAGTTTTTGTTTTCTTCCTGGCGGTCCCTTGCTTCTCACTGTCCAGCATCATCTGCTTACCAATCTTCTGCCGCTGCTGCTGCGTACTCTTGTTGGTCGGTGCTTTCCTGTTAGTTTTTTTTTCTTGGCCGTCGATTCCACCACCATTGCCGACTGTTGACTTCTACTGCTCCTGCGGTCTGTCATTCTTCAGTCGTATCTGCTACTGCTATTGGTGTCTTCTACTTCTTGGCGGCGTTCTTATTGGTTGCCGGCGTTCCTCACTGCCACTTTTGCCGGTGCTCTTGGTGGTTTCTCCTTTGTTGCTGCTCCTGTTTGCTGTTTGCTGGCATTCCTCCTAATTGTCGGTGTTCCTGTTTGCTGCTCCTTTGCTCCTTTGCTTCTCATCAGTCGCCTTCACTTGTTGTTGATTTGAGTTTCCTCATTGCTTGCTGTTTTGGCGTCCAAGTTTTTTTGCACCATTGTTGCGGCTGCCTCCATCCTTCGCTCACTGCTGCTTGCTTCTATTATTATTTTGCTGTCTCATCATGTTGGAACTCTCTTCTAATGTCCCGCCGCTCACTTCTTCCTCGCCTGCAACTCTGGTTACAGCTGTGCCAACTCTTCAACCGAGTCTACAATTCCTCAATCACTCCTTCACTGTCAAGCTTCATTCTCGTGCTAACTACACCGCTTGGCGCCTGCGATACACTTCATTGTTTAATATGTTCAAAGTTGCAGTGATTGTTGATGGCTCCGAGCCTCCACCGCCACAATTTCTCCCCTCCGTTAGTGAACCCACTGTTGCTCGCTCGTCTACTGAGGCTGAGTTTCGCGCCATTGCTAATGTTTGTGTTGAGCTGCATTGGGTGTGTCATCTGTTGTTGGAGCTGGGTGTCTCCCTACGTTGCTCTCCGTCTATTTGGTGTGATAACAGTAGTGCTATTTTCCTTGCTGCCAATCCGGTGTTTCACGCCCGTACACGGTATGTTGAGGTGCATTTTCATTTTGTTTGGGATCATGTTTGAAACGTTTGTGTCGATTCACTCCTTGTCTGCTGCTGATCAGGTTGCTGATATTCTTACGAATCCTTTATCCAAAGATATTTTTCTTCGTTTTCGAGACAAACTCTAGCTCGTTCCTTCTTTGCCATCAGTTTGAGGAGGCGTATTGTAGTAATTTTTATTTACCGTAGTAATTCAGTATTAAAGTTTTCCCTTATGTGTATATATATACCTTGTACATCTATGTTAAACTCAATGAAGTATAATCTCTATTATTCCTAACTCCTCATTAACAAAAACCCATACTATTTGTTACGAGAAGTATGCAAACTTAACTCAACTGTTCCCTCAGCAACATTACATTTTCATCCATCACAAAGTCATTGAAGGACATCCATCACAGTAATCGCCGAAGGAAAATGAACAATTCCATTGAGGGTAACATTCAAAAGATTCATCCAATATCCTTCATTTCCATATTCATTCATCGCAAAGAATGAAAAACGCTGTTGAAGGTAATCACTATATCCTTCACAAATTAAGAATGAAGCTCATACAAGTAGAGATGCATATGTTTGTAGGGTGTCGGTCAATAGGTATTTGTCTAACTTTGGTCTAGTGTTCACCATGGCGATGAAAAAGTAATTATTATTCCTACCAAAAATCTATCTATTATCTTCTAATTTTGTGTTAAATTACTCGAGCAAGCTTAAAACAAAAAAAAAAAAAAGCTAGTTTGTTTGTACTTCAGCTCATTAACCGCACAATGGTTGCTCGGAATTTATTAAGCGCACAATAGTTCGTTTGTACTTCAGTTTACTCTTCTGTAAATTTTCACATCAATGCAGCATCCTAATTAGTAATGATGTTCATTGGAAAACTTGACAGTTTTAACTACAAGTGTTTTCTTTTAACTATAGGTTAAACATTATAAAATCAAAGGATTTTGTATGTTTCAGTAGTGCTTTTTTTCAATGCATGAAAAAGGTCCAGCAGTTAAAAAAAAATATCTGTAAATCTATTTCAATCATTGAAGACTAATAATCCAATATTCCCCTATTGTGTGGAGTAAATTCTCAGTACCTAAACACAGCTTCATCAGTTGGCTAGCTTGTCAGGCCAGACTACTCACTGTGGACAGAATGGTGCACATGAATCTGATAATTGAAGATAAGCAATGTGTGTTATGTCACAAGGCAGAAGAAACAACAAAACACCTCTTTTTTTAGTGTGATTATGCAGCTGAAATCATGGGGTTGGTTCAGAGCTGGCTGAAAATGCAGACTGTTATTATGAGTTTGAATGCTCGAATACTGCTAAGAATCTGGAAGCATAAGGCAGTAAGGAAACATGTGTTATGGGCAAGTATTAATGCAGCAGTGCATCATATATAGACAGAGAGGAATTCCAGGAAGTTTGCAACCAAGGTGCAGGATGCAAGGAGTAGGTTTGGTCAAATGCAAGCTGAGGTAAAATTGTCATTCTTGTATAAATTTAGAAATTGACGTAGTGATGATATCCGGTTCTTAGAAAGTATAGGAATACTCTGATTGTACAGAACATCTTGTACAGCCTTTGTTTGTTTGAAGAAATAGAGTTCATAGTTTACCAGAAAAGAAAAAAATTCAACAACGGGAGTTATTAACCCATTAATCAAAACAGCCTCATGAGCTGTGTAACTTGTACCTTCTGTGTGCAATTCAACCCTATTTTTCTCTCTCTTTTAATTTTCTTTTTGTTTGAGATGGATACGACTGTTTGAGATGATGAGGGTGAAAATTTCTTATAAATATTTTTTAAATAATTGAATTAAATTGTTTAATTTAATTGATGTGCAAACATTGTTCTTTTTTCCTTGCAAAAAACAAACAAATAGATAGAACAGAATGTGTCTCAATTGCGAAAGGAGACACCAGCATTGGTTTCTTGAGTTTATTTTGTTCAACACACTGAATTCGTGGAAAACCCTAAAAAGAAGTTCCTACTTTCGAAGATTGGTTGAAAGTAACATCTAAATTGAACAATAAGTATTATATGCTATTATTGTGGACAATATTCAAGGACATCATGTAAGATACCCAAAAATTTATAATATGGTACAACATTGATTGGTTTTCTTGGCCTGCTTGTAAAACGACTTTGAAGCTTTACTAAGATCCAAACTCTTCTCAATCAAACTCTCCAGCTTCTCATTCCGGGAAAGAACACTGTCAATGGTCTTGTAGAGGATAATTTTCGTCTCATCCGTTTCCCTCTGAATTCTCAACACTTTGTCAGCCATAATAGGGTCCTGGAATTTGGATAGGGCCTCACTAAGATAAGGCCACGGTTGATTACTATCAGTTTGGGCCGATTTCCGCGAATCGCCGAACTCTTTTTCGTATTCATCTAAGACCTGATTTAGTACGGAAAACGCACTCCGAACTGGGTAGTCATCGTCCATGAATCCCAATGCGCACAATCCATTCCGGTTGTATGAATGCACCGTGTACTCTTGCTCCTGAACCGATTGACGCTGGCCAGGCGGGGTCCGACCGGCAAAGGTCCGACCGAAAAAGTTGATTGATTGGAGTTCCTTAGTGCTGGGTCTCCTAAAATACCCGGATTGGCTGACGTCGGATGATTTGCATAAAATCACCGGCTCCCTTGACTCGTCCGGCCAGACTTTTAACACCAACAACCCCGCGATCTTCATACTCGATTTCTGACCCGGGGGGATTTAGTCCTGTCCGCCGGGAACAACAAATCCGTGTAAAATAATTAAATTTCTCTGCGAGTTTTTTCCGCCACACAACATTTAAATAGTGTTCTTCGACTGAATTGATAATATTGTTTGGAGGTGACCTAGTTCGTTTCAACTTAGTTCAAACTTCGGAACGAAGGAAATCATAAAGAACATTAAAAGAAAAATTTAGTGCTTGTTTGGACAACGTTTTATTTTAGTTTTCGATTTAGATTTGAGAAGAGATTTAAAATGTAATTTAATTTTTTATTTGAAAAAGTATTATAGTATAGTGACCATTTATGAAATTAAAATAGTTTATTGATCTAGATGAAGACTTTACAATAGTGTAATGACCAAACGCAAGACTTTATAAGAATTCAGTGACCAAATGCAAAACTTTATAATAGTTCAGGACCAAACGCAATAAAGACTTACAATAATTCAGCGACTAAAATGAAAACTTTACAGTAGTTTAATGACCAAACGCAGTATTTTAAAAGATAAATTAAAATATTATTTGAATAGTGCATTGAGTTTTGTGTTTAAGAGGTAAAATGAGACAAAAAGTAAAATAAGAGAATGGACAAACAAGCCTTAAGAAAAAAGGAAAAGAAGGAAATTGTAAAGAAAAGCTGAACGTGTAGTATTAGAAGTTATTAGGGGAAGTAGAACAATTGGGCTGAAGAAAAATAAATGAATCTTGGCCTAATTACTAACATAAAAAGTCAAGCTTGCCCATAATTATATGCACAATTCTTTTCCTTTCTAATTAGTGTACGTAATAAATAGTGATATACGGAGTACTAAAAAATTATTCATATTCATTAATAATAATTCATATTATAACTACTGAATTTTACTGAAGCAATATCATTCATTAATTACAAATGTAGACTATATTTTTTTTAGACAAAGCAAGTTCTTAACATTAACAATGTATCCCACAAAACTCAATTTGGTGCAACAAAAATATTACTGGTAAAAATTGCCTCATTACTCTCAACACCGAAACATTCTTACGATTGAGTCACATACGAACCCCTCGAGAGGTCATAAGTCATAACTGATCAGAAGCTTGTTGGCTCTTAAGTTAAAACCTGTGCGTGTGTATATAGAAAAATGGTCCAGTCCAATGTAATTTCAAACGGAATTAATTTGACTGTGCAGTAAGAAATAACACACACCACTCTACTTTGATATTAACTTAAAATGTGATTAAAATCTACATGTACAAGTTTCAATGACGTCCATCCACGGCCTTAAATACTCCGGGCCCAATGTGGACAGTTGATCCGCAATTTCCATTCTGTCCCATTGATATGCTTATATTTTACCTATTTATTATATCCCTAATTTGTGATTTTTGCAATATATTTTGAGTACAAATATGCTATTTATGTGATTTTATCTTTAATTGTAGGAATTGTACTCAAATGACGAATTGTTGAAGTTTTGAGCTAAAATCGAATTAAAAGCAACTCAATGGGAAAAAAATTGAAGATTGGAGCAATTGATGGGGAGGAAATTAATGAGTTTAGAGAATTGGAGGGCCAATGATGCAATTTTGGATTGGTTAATTAAGTTTTTGGAAAATTGGCCGAGAAGGTTATGGTTATGCGGCCGATTTGGGATTGGAATTGGATAAGAATTTTAATCCCGATATTAATTGGGAAATAAGTTTTCTTGTTCTTCAAGGAGTAGGGTTTAGCGGAAGTCTATAAAAGGGGATTAGGGATTTATTTTTACAATGAACGAACCGAAAGCGGCGAAAACCTTACGGCTGCAAACCACTTCCCCCGACATCACCTTCTTGTTTCCTTGTTCACCGGTGCCGGCCACCACCTTGACCTCCATCACCGCCGCCACAGCAGCTCCATCACCTCTGCTTAATCATCATCACCCTTCATCACCGAAGCCAATCATCCAAGCACCACCTTGCTGTCCACGAAGCAACAGCAGCACCATCATTCTCCTCCACCTTAACACCACGCAGCAGCATCAAATCCCCCAACTTCAAAACCAGCTCCATCTCTTCCACGACTCCACGCAGCACACGAAGCAACTCAAGCTCTCCCTGCCGATCTCTTGCACGCACCGTTAATAGCAGCAGCCGCAATTGCAAAAATCGGGGAGCTCTTCGGCGGTTTCGGCAGAGTTTTTCGGGTTTTGATGTTTTAATTCTTTTAATTTCAGACTTTGTGTTTATTATGTCTCTAAATATTATTGAATTATTTTTAATAATGTTTAGTGGCTAAATTCTTTTAATCTAGGGCTTGGGTGTAGCCACCGAATTTATTTGGTTTATTTGGTTCATTATTATTTGATTTTTCCATTAATTAATATTTGTTATTCTTGTTTTAATTCGTGTAAGTAATTGGCCACTATTTGCATGTCTGAAGATATTAATCGAAGTAGCGAGAGTGGAAGATTAATATTAGTTCGTAGGAATAATAAACTTAGGTTATAAGCTACGAGTAAGATTATAACCTTTGCAATATTTGATTCTTAATGATCTTAATGTACTTTTGTTAATCCCTATAGTCACGAGAGTAGTCATAGGGTTAATCTAAGTAAGAGAATTATAACACGAGAGTGTATAGTTCTTAATTAGGTGAATCGTTGTGAGATTAATGGAAGTTAAAAGTCAGATAGTTATGAATTGAATTAACCCAAATATTCGGTAGGTGAACCCAATGTCCTAGGTTTTCTTTGTCTGATTACTTGAATTAATATTATTTGTTTTTATTTTATTTATTTATTTTAGTTTTAAATTTAGAAATCTGAGATCATTATTTATCTAGATAATAATAGGAGTAATTTATACCTGGTAATTAGTATTCCTTCTCTGTGGGATCGACCCTACTTTCTGCTTTACTACTAGTAATTGTATTAAGTAGGTAATTAATATTTGACTAGTGTGACGACGGCTTGTCAAATTTGGCGCCGTTGCCGGGGAAGGCAGCTAATATCGAATTTAGATTACTTTCTTTTATTAGTTTAGATTTGTTTTTATTTTATTTATTTTATTGTCTTACTATTTTAGTGATTTCTTTTAAATATTTTTTTATTTTTATATGCGAAGTGCTAATGCTGAGACTTTGCAATTTGATCCAGAGATAGAAAGAACAGCTCGTGCGAACAGAAAGGAAGCAAAACTAAGAAAAGAGCTAAATCAGAGTGAAACCATGGGCGACAGAGTAAACACTCGGACACTGAGGGATTACTTTACACCTATGGAGAATGTTGCTAGGTCAAGTATTACTAGGCCTACCATTGCTGCGAATACCTTTGAGCTCAAGCCAGCATTGATTCAGATGGTGCAGCAGAATCAATTCTCCGGTTTTAACAATGAGGATCCGAATGCGCATATTGATAACTTTTTGGAGATCTGTGATACTGTTAAGATAAATGGTGTAACGTCAGATGCAATCCGGCTGAGACTTTTCCCTTTTTCATTGAGGGGAGAAGCGAAGAATTGGTTGAATACTTGTGATCCTGGTTCCATCACAACTTGGGATGAGCTGTACAAAGAATTCCTGATCAATTTCTTCCCACCACATAAGGCAGCAAAATTGAGAAATCAAATTACTGGGTTTATTCAAGAAGATGATGAGACATTTCATGCTGCATGGACAAGATTCAAAGAATTGCAAAGAAAATATCCTCACCATGGTATTGAGAAAAGTACTCTAGTTCAGACTTTCTATCAAGGATTGACAGACTTTGCAAGAAACAATGTGGATGCTGCAGCTGGAGGTTCATTAATGGATAAATCAATTGATGATGCCTACGAATTGTTTCAAATTATGGCAAAGAATAGGAATCAATGGTCGAACTCGAGAAGTGTTTCCAAGAAGCCTGCTGGAATGTATGAAGTCAATGAGCTTAGTGCCATGAACGCAAAGATAGATGCATTGACCAAGGCAATGGGTAATCTTGTAAATGCTAATGCAGTCTTCCATGCCACTGTCTGTGAGTTCTGTGCAGGTCCTCATTTGAGCTCTGAATGTATGCAAGTAGCAAGTGCACAATATGTCTCTAATTTCAGCAAGCCTCAGCAGCAGAACAATCCTTACTCCAACACATACAATCCTGGGTGGCGAAATCATCCAAACTTTTCTTGGAATAATCAAGGGGCTCAAGACTTTAATGCAAGACCTCAAAACCCTCCTGGTTTCCAAGCAAAGTCATACCAATCCGCGCCTAAGACAGCTACGGAGGAAAGTTTGGAGAGAATGGAGAAATTGTTGAGTGAAAACACTGAACGGTTTAACAGAATAGAATCAAGATTAGATCAATTGACAACTGCTCATAGAACCTTGGAGTTGCAAGTGAGTCAAATGGCCTCCGCCATGAATACTCGTTGTCAAGGTCAACTGCCAAGCAAGTCTGAAATCAACCCTCGTGAAAATTGTAGTGCTATCATGTTGAGAAGTGGGAAGCAGTTGGGTGACAAGGAGGAACCAAAGACCACTGAAGTGAATGAGACCACTGATGAGAAGAAAGTAGAGAGTAAGCAGATTAATGAAGAAAAAGTGGAGAAAGTGGAACAAGAAGAAGAAAAGATATATGTGCCACCACCGCTTAAACCTTATGTTCCACCAGTGCCTTTTCCGCAGACTCCATATGACTAAGCAAGATAGGTTGTTTGAGAAATTTTTGAAAATTTTTAGGCAATTACATATTAACATTCCTTTTGCAGATGCTTTAGCTCAGATTCCGGCTTATGGGAAGTTCTTGAAGGAGATCATCTCAAATCGAAGAAAAGTGAAAGACTTTGAGACAATTGCACTATCTGAGGAGTGTAGTGCTGTCATTCAGAGAAAGTTGCCTCCAAAATTGAGTGATCCAGGGAGTTTCTCTATTCCTATCTCTATGGGTGATGTTTGTTTTGATAAAGCTTTATGTGATTTAGGTGCTAGTGTTTCATTGATGCCTTTATCTGTTTGTAGAAAGCTTGGGTTGAAACA